TCCTGAGTAACACACAGCAGGTGAGCCCTGATGTCTTCTTTTATGTCAGCCTGAAAGGTTAAGGATTCCAGGTGCGCTTAGCCACCAGGTATCATCTGAATGCATTAACCACAATTGATATTATAAACCAATCATTTTAGCAACTAAGTCTATAACCTAGCAGTGAAAAATTAAAAAATCGACTGTTGGACCAAGATATCAGGACCACAAAGTTTCTAAATAAAGTGGGGCTGACTCAGGAAGAATCAGTTGGCATGTCATTTTTTTTTTCATAGAATTTTCTGTAACTTTATTTACTTTGGTAGGTCACACGTCATATTAAAATACTGTTCTTAGAGGATGTGGTCTCCAAATGAAAACTTAAAAGGGGTGAGGGAGGTTGCTGTGGGTGACAGTTTGATAGGTTATACACTATATAAGAAGAACCATCTGGATAGAACTCAGGGTAGAGTCTGCGATCAGAGATTACAGGATCCTAACCAGGGGCTGTTTGTCAGGGCTGTCTTATAGAGAGGCAGCACCAGGTAGCAAATCTCAGGTCTGAGCTTCAAGTCCAGTTTCAAACACTAGCTGTGTGACCTGGCCTAGGGCAAGTCTCAACCTCTTTGATGGCAGTCCTGCATTGTAGAGGAACGTGGACATGCTCCCCAACTCCCAGGGTTGTCTTGAATAGTGAGAGAGAGAATGTGGGTTAACTCACTTTGTAAACCTTGGAGTGCTAACCAAAATAAAAAACCAATCCCATTGCAGTCAAGTGGATTCCAACTCATAGTGACCCTTTAGGAAATCCCCATAGGATTTCCAAGGCTGTCAATCTTTACAGAAGCAGACTGCCAAATCATTCTTCCATGAAACAGCTGGTGGGTTCAAACTGTAGACCTGCTAGCCAAGCACTTAACTACTGAGCCACCAGGGCTCCTTGGAGTGCTAATGGGCATTATTAATATTATTAGGTGTATGAGTGGAATCCCTCCGCTGAGGGATGCCAGCGCCCCCACTCTACCAGGCCACTTGTAGCATTACAGCTGCTTCAGTGACTACCTGATGCAGAACCTGTATCAAGGCAAAAACAAAGGCATGTGCCTTTGTCCCTCCCCTAAAAGGAAGATGTAGAAGTTTAGAGGAAGCATCTAAGCAAAAAGGAGGCATCTTAATTAGGACAATTGTTAACTGTTCAAATGAGAACATGGAGTAAGTTCCAGTGTTGAGCATCTGATAATGTCATAAGGCACTGGGGATGCTAAATGAGGGTGAGATCCAAGAGTCTTGAAGTGCAGTAAGGGTAGATGTGCTTGGATTGAACTCTGTGAGGTACAGTGGGGACCTAGAGAAGGGAAAGGAGTTTTTACTGTATTTCATTGCATCAAAAATGCCACAAATTGTAAGAAACCCCATTTTATATATCACTAAGAACAAATATTGCCAGTTACACTATGACATGCCATTGATCGTGTGGCATAGCTGGATATCAGAGGTGTTAAAATGAATAAATGTGCATCTTAAAAGTGATAGTGATGGTTCAGATTGTGTGTCAGCTTGGCTGGGCCATGATTCTCAGTGGTTTGGCAGCCATATAATGTAGTTTGGCAGTTATGTAATGATGTAATTTGGCAGCTGTGTAATGATGTCATTATCCTCCATTTTGTGATATAACATAATCACCTCCATGATGTGATCTGATGTGATCAGCCAGTCAGTTGTAAGAGTTTCCTTGGGGGGTGTGGCCTGCATCCAATATATATGGACATTCTGGCAAAGCTTGCTGGCTTTTGCTCACTCTGGATTCTGCATCTGGCTCATCATGATCTGACCTCTGGTTCTTGGGACTTGAGCCAGCAGCCTGCCATACTGCCTGCCAATCTTGGATTCGTCAGCCTCCACAGCCTGTGAGCCAGCAGCCTGCCATCTGGCCTGCTGATCTTGGGTTTGTCAGTCCCTACAGCTACATGAGTTAAGAGAAGCCTCCAGCCTGATGCCTGACCCACGTACTTGGAACTTGCCAGCCTCTACATCCATGTAAGCCATTTCTTCGGGATAAATCTCTCTCTATATATATGCGCTTCACTATTGCTTTGCTAGAGAACCCAGACTCAGACTAAGATAGTGATGAAACATGGTAATTCTCCAGTGAGGATAGTGAAGACAAACATTGTAGAAAATTTGGAGGGGATATAATATCTAGTAGAGAAAGCAGATCATTAAACAAGTATAGCAGGTAAATATTTTAATCCACATAATACTATTTGTCAAGCCATAATTACAAGTAAAATTTAGTCAGCTCTAAGCACCCTCTTACTGATGTGATGGGAAGACAACTGCAGCAATTACTGGAGTCCCTGTGCCACCCTCCCCAAGATCATACAAGGATCCCTGTATGGGTTGCAAAAAACCAAGGGGAAGGGCTGGACATGGATTTGAGTCCCCTGTGGCTGCCATCATTGCTACTGCAACCCAGTGTTGCTGAACGCCCACTCTTAGGCATAGGGTGCTTTGGGATGCCACTCAGAGCTCCACTCCACTGACACCTGGCTGCCCCTGGAGAGCTCACTGCTGCTTGCAAAGCTATGTTGCATGCCGACCAACCTCTGCAGGCCTCCCACAGCAATCTGTCATTTGGGATACTACGTTCAACCAAGGCTGGGCCTCTGTATAAATGAAAGCCTTTAATTCCGCATCCTGTTCATAGGCTCAGTCACTCATTGAGTCCAGTCTCTACACTTAAGTACCTCTCCCACTCTGGGACTCAGCTTAACCTTCTTCAGTGAAACTGCAGAAAAAGCACTCTGGTTGCTCTACTGGGAGCCAAGGGGCTGTGGAGATGGCCTAGTCACAAGTGATAGAAATCCCAACCCTAACTAGTTTAAGGAAGAGAAATTTCAGCTAACTGAAAAGTCCAAGTGTAGAATTTGATCAAGGTATTCATATTATGTCACTAGGTCAAGATTTCTTTTCTTCCCTCCTTTATTTCCTATGCATTGGCTCTATGACAAGCTCTCCCCTTGTGGGACAAAATAGTTGCTGTGGTTCTAGATTCATGTGTTCCTTGATTCAAGTGCAAAATGAGACTCAGCCTCTCTCCCAGCAGACCCAGTAAGAATTTCAGTGCATCTCAGTGTTGGCTTTGATTGGGTTACAGTCCTACCCCTGAGTCAATCACAGTGACCAGGGGATCTATATCTGATTGGCCATGCCTAATTCATAAGCTTACTCCTGGAGCTTGGAGTAGTTAATACCACCTGAAACTAACAGGCATCATGCAAAGAGGAATAGCAGATCTCCAGAAGAAAACTGAAATGCTACTGTCAAAAGAAGGGGAACGGATGCAGAATGTTCACAAAACAATAAATCTCTGCTTCACTCAATGTTTGTCTTAAGAATGAACATACTATTTTTCTTAGTAGCATCTATCAGTAGTGTGGTGATTGCTGCAATAAGAATAGGTGCCACAGGAGTCCACTTAGGTCTTCTCATCTGAAAGCCTCAACTGTCTCTTTGAAATAAAAGACAAAATCATCTTCTGAGAGAGAAGGCCAGCAGTGGGTTAGAGCACTGGTCTCAAATTGTGTTCCCTGGACCAGCAGTGGCAGCATCACCTGGAAACTTTTAGAAACACACATTCTCAAGCCCCATTCCAGACTTACTGAATTAGAAACTTTGGAGGTGGGACCCAGCAATCAGTGTTTTCACACGTTCTTCAGGTAATTTCTGATGTACACTAAAGTTTGAGAACCACTGGGTGAGGAGTTTGCTGCTCAAAGCATGGTCCATGAGCCAGCAGCATAGGGATCATCTGGGAGGTGTTAGAAATGCTGAATCACCGGCCCCACCCAGACCTACTGGATCAGAATCTGTATTTTTAATGAGATCCTCCAGGTGATTCATTTGCATATTGAAGTTTAATAAGCACTAGGTTAGGGGTCTGGAAAAGTGGAGCAGAGGAATTGTATAGAGCTTTTCCACTTCATTTCTCATTTTCCACTTCAGTCAAGGAACACATGAATCTAGAACCACAGCAACTATTTTGTCCCACAAGTGGAGAGGTTTTCATAGAGCTAATAATGCACAGGAAATAAAGAAGGGAAGAAAAGAAATCTTGACCTAGTGACATAATATGAATACCCTGATCAAATTCTACACTTGGACTTTTCGGTTAGCTGAAATTTCTCTTCCTTAAGCTAGTTTGGGTTGGGGTTTCTATCACATGTGACTGGGCCACCCCCACAAGCCACCTTCACTTTCTGACTCTCTTAGATTGCATGCAGTCATTACCTTTGAGACGGGATCAAGTGACTGGGTTCTTTAGACATTCTAGTCACCTTGTCAGTGGGCTCAGTAAGCTCACTCTTCTTAGCAGCCATTCCAGAGTAGCCTCTTTCAGGTTGCTCCTTTCCAGGTTAACTTTTCATGACCTTATTTCATCTTTGGGGTGATTCTCCCTCTCACTGCTCCCAAACTTTTCATCTCAACTCAGGGACTTAGAGATAATAAAAACCTGACTTGTGACAGGCTACAATTCTAGAATGCCGATTTTCCTCAAGGATTCATTCATGTGGGAGTTCTTCTCTGGGCTTCCTATTCAAGTATTCCGAATGTTTACTGGGGCTCCATAACAGGGAACATTATGGCATCAGGGAAGGTCATATTGCCCTAACATGTTTATGTCAGATTGTGTCTGCATTTATCTGTGGAGAAAATCCATTGAGATTTCTCCAAGCTAGCACAGAAAAGGCCAAGAACTACTGTATTAAATTGTTTGCTTTTTAATATAGATTGGTTGGAGGGAGAGGTAGTGGGTGGGAGACACACTCAAATTTATGTTCCCTTTTGGGGTGTGTGCATAATTATTCATTTTAGGTTAAAACTTTAATACACTAATTTTACATGAGAGTTTTAAAAAGTGCATATTAAGCACATCTTTTGAAAAAGTAAACAGCAACTAGTTTACTGTCTAATTTTAAGACTAATGATGATAAAGATAAAATAAGAATCTGACAAATGTGAAGTAAAGGACATTTTATTTACTGACAGATTAAAAACCATAACTTTCAGGTAGTGCAAAATGCATCACTGAACCCAATTACAAAGAACTGTTGTTAATACACAATGTTTAAGCAATGTTACTTATTTTTGGCAAAGTGCTGTACTGTTCAGTCTGTATAAAAAACTGACCCACCTATGAACCAATCAGTATAAAAAATTTCTATAAAAACAGAAAAAACAATTTAGACAGTGGCTCAAGAAAACAAGCTGCCGTTTATGCATAGATTGATGTACAGTATATAACCTAACCAAATGTCCCTTTTGAGTCTTCAAGTTGCTGAAAAGAAATTGTGTCCAGAAACACGTTAACAAGGCACATAGTACAATCTACAATACTACTCAGTCTCCATAACTGATGTCCTGCCCTTGAAAAGCAAGTGTTCACAATTTTACTTAAGGAAAAAACCAAAACCACTTTTTTTTTTTTTAAGTAACATACACGATTATGATTAAAGTTCAAAACCTGTGGAGGAAAACAACCAAAAAGCAAACAAAACCACTCATACACAACGAGCCTGGAAACACGCACATCTAACCTCCCCAAGTGCTAGTGTGGTTTTTAGAAGTCCACCTAGTTAGAGAACAAAATACTAAAACTTCAGGCAAACACAGAGCAAAACTGGGCAATTAAACAATTACACAACTTACAAAAATGTTGTAAGAAAATTTCTTAACGATATACAAAACATTATCCACGGAAGCTGCCTTTCTCTGAATAGTAACTTCTCCCATGTAAAGGATACTGTTGCAAATAAAAAAAGATATCCTCATCTGTATGCTTGCTTGTACTTCTCTCCCCACCTAAACCACTTTAATTGGTGTCAAATTTCAAGTGAAATTGGTACATGGCAAGGCTGCCACCATTGTATTACATACGCTTTCTAAATAAAGCATTTTATATAAAATTTTAAGCACTAAACTAAGTAGACAAGGATGACATAATACATCAGCATGGCTGACAGCAGTGAAACCATCCATGATAGTAGCCCAGTTTTTAAAAGAATTTAACCAGTATGTATGGGCTTTATAAAATAAAAAGATAATTTTAAGGTAACATTATAAAAACATACTAGTATCTCCCAGTACAAGGAGCAGTCTCTTAACTGATTCTAAAAACAAAAACTAATACATGGAAACTCTTATACTCTCTCCACTATTTTATTTAAATTTAAATGTCTTCTAGTTGGAGTCCTTCATTTTTGTTGTTTGCAACTCAAAGAAAATGAGGTCACAAAGATACCCCCTTCCTTGCTCTTTTTTAAGAGTTATGTAGAGGCAATATTATTTCCTTCAGGAGGAAGAGAAATATCAAACTCAGATTCAACAAAGACATGAAGATTACAAATCAGTGTACTAACACAGATTTGAGAAGTTAAGAAACAATAGGGAACGCCACAAGGCCCTCTCAAATTTTAAGCAAACTGTCTTCTCACTAGAATGAAAGTACTGATACAACAGAAAGGATATGTAAACAGGAACAGTTTGCATGGGAACCAGAAAAATGTACAGGAAATTAATGTTTAAAAAAAAAAAAAAAGCCTCCCTGCAATAGGAAGACAAAAATCCAATCACTCTGCATCTTCTGTAGAACCCCACCCCCCCAAACAGCTATATAAACGTATTGCCACGGAAGATAAATAAAGGATGTTCACCTTCAACTTACAGTGCAGAACATAATTCAATTAGTTGAGGAAGAAAAAGTAATAAACATGTTATACATTATGAAATGTTTTATTAACAAAAACACAAACTTTGAGAACATGGTGCACTGTAAAAACTAATAAACTCATACACGAAGCACTGTGTGCGTGCACCATGTCTTCCAGACGTTTTCCAAGTTAACATTCTATGTTATCAGTTTAGAAACTGTCATAGCTGCTAAATTCAGAAGGGTCTTATTTCTCAATGCTTGAATTTTAAGAGATATGCACTGAAGTACACTGTAAACCACTGATATTTACAACAGCAAAAATAATCACAAACTCTTACAATAAAATGCATTTTGGCCATGTTTCAAAGAATACTTAACAGGTCAGCATAATTCTGTGTTGTTACTGGCCTTGTATCTTGCACACAGCAGATGTCTAATAAGCATCTTATGACCAAGAACTTCAACTGAATTACATAAACCATTTTCTTCAGTTCTTACATGTGCCAATTTTAGACAGAACCTTTAGATACTGATACATGAACACAGCATGGTATCACACGGTGTGGTAACCCTTAACCTAAAAAAAAAAAAAAGACACCTACTAATGACTGAAATCATGTTTTCCAGATACAAAGCATATAAAACTAGGCCCAGATGAGGCAAACAAAAAGTCAATATAACTGAAGGAGATGTACATGTATTTAAGTGATCAGGAAATCTGAAGGAAAAAAAAAAAGAACTTCCATTGCAGTTTTATATACAAATCAGTTCATGCTGTCAAACTAATTTTCATGGCCGAACTGCTGTAGTTTTTGAGGTACTAACAACTTGCACATAATGTATGAAAGAGACCCCCATGTATTCAGAAGCTTACATCCAGGAAACATTTAGCTGGTCTATTTTCAAGTTACCAGCATATGGCCCTATAACAGACATGGTGTGAAACACACTTTCAGGAAAACGCTACGTTATCTCCCAACTCTGGTAAACACAAATAGTAACAAAATAACTTCTAGCTCAGTTCCACAAAACTTTACAGACTTGGCCCCTAATTAGAAAACAAATAAATAAAGGGGTATAGTCAAAACAGAAGGGGAATGAACAGAGAAGAAGGGAATCTAGACTCTTGTTCTGATGAAACATTCCTGGCACTTTATCACAGCCAGTGGAAGAACAACCTAACAACACCATCTAACTACACTATTTGACCGCTTCCAATTCCAACCACTCCAGTCTAGTCAGAAAAGAGCACAGCTCTTCACTGAAGAAAAAAAAAAAACAGCCTCCCATGGTTCCCTGCATCAAACTGGTACAGGGTCATTGAAAACTATAATAATACTTCACATAACCATATTTTTTTTCTTGAAAACATTTTATAGACGTGTACTATTTAATTGGTTGCAGAGGAGTTGGAAAAATAAGCTGTTTATGAAGCTGATACTACTGTCAGTCAGCAGCTTGTGCTTTTGATTTTAAATGTGTTTGCTTAATTTCAAGGGGAATTCAGTGAGTGTGGATGGCTCAGCAAAACCCATCACAACTGTTAAAATATAAAGTGACTGACTAGAGGTAAGGGAATAGATTTTCTCTGTGTCAAGTTAACTGGCCTACATGTGAATTGAACCCTGCACCTGGCCTCATTAGCACCAACTCTGAAGAACAGTTGTGGCAGAAAAATCACCACAGACCCCACCCCTATCACCAGATTCAGTAGAGAGGCCTTTGGAATTTCACACAGGGTCCAGTTCTGGGCAGCACACACCCTCACTTCAAATCAGTACACAATCCTCACAACAACTCTGTGAGGGAGGTAAATATTATTAATCCCCCGTTGGTGAAGGAAACAGAGGCCAGAGTGGTTAAAGATTTTGCCTGAAGCCCAAGTAAAATAAGGAATGAAAACTCAACGAAGCCAACTTGTTGCTCTTTGCTTAGATGCTATGAAACGCTGTCATCACACCCCCCTCCATCCCCCATGTTTGCCACTTGGCAGGACGCTCTACCATGGAGGAGGATTTATCACTGTATCTGGAAATACAAAGCCTATCTCTTCTCCTTTGGGCAGATATAAATATGAAGTCACTCAAGTGCCTGGTGAGTACTTCTGAATTTACAGCTCTTGTGAGATGGCGGGTAGGCAAAGCTGGCAGGGAAGAATCAAAAACAACTTAAATACTGGGCTAATGGGTGAGTCACAGATATACATTTTCCCAAATATAGTTTCACAGGTTTAATTTAATCCCTCTGCATGTGAGACAAATGCTTTTGTCCCATGATACCTGTAATATCTGTACCACGTCACATAGTCACATTAGAATTACTGAATGCACTGTTCACTAAAACTTAATGTACCTGAATTCCAAAATGAACTGCATGACTAACCTGGGAAAAAAACAACCCATACATACAGAAATATATCAAGTTTTCTTTCAAAAGAAAGTTCAGCCATAATTCCATCATATCCATGGCAACTATCACCTGTTAATGCTCATGTTAGTGTGTAAAAATGTATTCATTATATACAGAAAAGATTATCAAGTACTGGTCAATAAAGTGTATGGCTGACCCTGAGAATAAATTTTTGCTTACTCAAAAGACTGATTAAGTAATATAAAATAAAATGAAATTGTAAGATGCCTATTCTCACACTTGGGAAGAAATGTCTTTAAAATGCCAACTAGCTTGTGTACACCTTAATAGATTTAAAAGACATCCCCAAACACTGTAATTGTATTGATATGTTTCCAAAAATATTCTGAAAAAGTTTACAAAAAAAGTAAATGCTAAGAGAAAGGCATTATGTGATATACAAGCACGTAAATCTTGTTTCTAAGATAGTGTCTACACACACTGATAAAACTGTGATTGGTCATCAGCTGGCTGTAAAGAGATAGCATCTTCATTGTACATCCACACTCATCCACACATACATGCACAAACCAAGAGAAGCCAACCAACAGAACTTGAAATTCTTAGTAATTGTACTGACGCGGGCAGGGCTGATGAACAACCCAGCCACTGTGCTTGACTTGCCGAGAGGAGCTATCCCTGGTAAGATTTTGGCGACGAAGGCTATTTCTGTTTAGAGACTGTCTTTCACTACGTTCTTTTATCCACTGGGAAGGGCGAAAGCTCTTGGGTTGTTCCAAAAAAGTTGTATGAGCAGCAAGAGCTGCAACATAGCAATGAACGTGCTGCCCTATTTCATTCTGAGCTTCCACTCTGAAACAGAAAAAAAAGTGGGGATGTATTAAATAAGAGTATGCTAACAATGAAATTGGTAAAATTTCTAAATAACAACGTATAGTCTTTCCTCCAAATCTTTTACCATGATTTTTTCACAATTTTGGAAAATCCTACCACTGTTTGCAATGTTGTTCATGGTCCTTACATATACAGCATATCTGTATCAGTCTATACTGTTGTTACATGTGTCACGTATTATACTCAACTATTACATTACATTATAGGGAGTCTATATTACGTACAAATGTCTGTCACCTTTATTATTTCTTCTGTAATACTACTAGGAAAAAAAAAACCAAACCCATTGCCATCAAGTCAATTCCAACTCATAGCAACCTTACAGGACAGGAGAACTGCCCCATAGGGTTTCCAAGAAGCGCCTGGTGGATTAGAACTGCCAATCTTATGGTTAGCAGCCATAGCTCTTTAACCACTATGCCACCAGGGTTTCCATACATATTAAAATAGCTATTATAATATTTACAAAATAAAACTGGAAAAGTTACTTAGCAATTCAATTTGCCAAACTAATTTGTCTATGGTTGAAGACAGCTTAGTGTCTTATGGCAGACAGACAAGTTTATATTTTGTGCCACAATGACTAACAAGAAACCTACTAAAATGCCTGTAGGTTTAAAGTGACAGCAGTGGAAAGGAGAAGCCAACTTTTAATAGAAATATGCTATATAATCCCCAGGTGGTTAATTAAGTAGATTGTATTATTTAACAATGCTTTTACACTTTGAGTGAATTTCAACTATAGCATAAACTCGCATATGCTTTTCTGGGAGGAGAACTAACATTTATTCAATATTTACATTTGTAAACTCCTTTGTAAATATCGTGTATTTTAATTCTCACCATAATCTTAAAGGGTAAATATTTTCATTCCCAAATTTTACTGATGAGAAAGCTGAGACTCAGATGTTAAGGTCATAGTTATTAACTGACTCAACCAGGATTCGAGTACAGGTCTTCCTCCAAAGACCACGGTAATGAAGCAGGGTTAATACCAATGCACTGTACAACGGCACCTTCGCTCAAATGTTCTAGGACACAGCTTTGAATCTGTATCTAATACATACGTGCATAAGGAAATTTTACTCATTTAACGTTTTTCTAGTTAAGAAGCTACTGCTTATTATAGAACACAATGCTAAGTTTTTATATATATCACAACAGGACATATTTTGGAATGGCATTTACATGGCATTAAGAACGTATAATCTTAAAATATGGCTATAAACAGTATGGCTACCGTATGTTTTCAATATTAAAAGCTAATCAAATAGGATAGATGTAAATTATATTAATATATAACATGAAGAGTTTTAAGATTTTTAAGGGTTATTATACACAGGAAGGGCAGTTAAATATTCTGCCTGTAGTCACTTGAGGAAAACACGATCTTTTTAATATATGGTATTGACTTTTTAAGTAGAATTAAGGCAGGTCACAGTAGGAAACTAGTAGAAAGAAGTAGAAACTAGTAAAAAGAAAGTGGTGGGCATTTTAGTCCTTAGCCTCCCTATGCAGACTGATAACACAAACCACACAGTCTCAAAGTAAATATACTTACTCTGTGCCAGTGAGTCTTAAAAGCAGCTTTTCCTGGCCCTACAAATGTTAAATGGTGACTATTAAACCACTAGTTAAGATTTAAAATGCTATTTTAATTTTACTGTAAGGACGTGGTCAACTTCTTTATTAAATTAGTTTACTATGGGTCATTAAAGACACATATTAAGATTAGGACAGCACAAACAAACAATATTTATAAAGGCTAAATTGCAATAAAATGCACACTCTGAAGACATCTGTAATACAAAGCACCTTACTTTTACGTGTTTTACAGTAATATCCTCAAGGATAGACAAGATGGAAACAACCTAACCTTTGAAAGACACACGATTTCTTTCCTGGTCAGAAAATATAGATGTTTACTTCATAACCATCCTCTTTATTTTGGCTAACACCTGATTTCTTATTTTGATTTAGTGGGCTTTTCTGATCAGAATTTCAAATCCAAAAATAAGGAAGTTAAAAAAAATAGTTACGATAACTGTAACCATTTGCAGGATTTTCCTATGTGCAGAAAGAATTCATATAAAGTTCAGTGTGTTACTTTGATCTTTTATATATAGAAAAGTACTTATTTAACTATTCTGTATGTTATGTCTATCACATATGAATGCAAAAACAATAGAGATACCAAAAAATAGAGATACCAAAAAATTTTCACTGCATCAAACTGCAAACACACAACACCCAGATGCCGTGCGTGGCTCTGAACTGGCCAGTGGTCTGGACAAACTAGATGAAATGGTTTTAGCTCTACTAGGGGAATCTGAGTACGGTTTGAACAGTAGGTGAAGTGCAAATATACTGACACAAAAAGGTAGAGATCATTGCCTGGAGAAGATTTTAAAATAGTACATATAGCATGATCTCATTTAGGTTAAAAATGTGGTATGTGGGGTGTGTGTGTATGCATGCACATAAAAACAGTCTGGAAGGCTATGCCCTAAGGTGTTAACAATATTCATGTCTGGGTAATGATGTCATTAAAATGTTTTAAATTTTTGCATATTGCATTTCTATTTTTCTGCAATATACATGTATTGCTTCTATAATAATAGTAAGTTATTTTACAAAGCTGTTTAAAGTATATATATACTTTGCACACTGAAAGTAAATATACAGATGCCAGTAGATTTAAAGTGACTATTAATCATACTAAATTCTTAAATAGAATTTCCCAGAGGTGAGACTGGACTCAGGTGGGAAGAATTTTTAAGAACTGAAAAAATTAATTTGAAGCAACTATAAAGCAATTAAATCAATCCCAACCTCCAAAAAAGATTATATTTGAAATTTTTTGTTCGAATGCCTGAAATGCTGACCTCATGATAAACTCTGCAAAATGTACCAGGTTAAAGGCATGTTTTCCATCAGAGCTCTTACGCAATATAAAGCCTGGCATCATGTAACTATACAAGCAAATTGTTTTTCTTCTTGGTACAAGCATACGTTTATCCTCAAATGATCATCTACAGTATTAAGACTTCAGAGTGCAGCAAACTCTGGTAAAGTTAACAAATTAATGAGCTGCTTGGGCCAAGTTTATATCTGGCAAACAGGAAACAGTAGGAGATACAGACACATATAGTGGTCCAGTTAGTAGAGTCAGAGTCTAGGCAATCCAAAAAGAGGCCCTTTGGATGATGGCACTAATCATAGAAATATTCTGAACTGCTCTCAAGCATCCAGTTTCACTTGGACCCTTGACCTAAGAGAGGCAATTAAGTCAGTGCCAGCATCCCCAAAATAAGTTAACACCATAGGGAACATTCCACTAAAGTGCATTATGGACTAACTAGAGTTTGAGCTAAGTAACATGGTCATGGGCTTTACTTCAGTGGGTGGAAGAATCGTGAATATATTCTCTGCAAAAGTCCACAGAGTGTCTACATGTTTTGGAACATACCCATCTTCACTGACCAAGTACCCTCCCCACAATCTGCCCATTTCCCCAACCTATCTGCCATTCAACAGAACTTTTCAGACCACTTGGGTCCCTGAAACAACAAGAAAACATTGTTTGGGTGTGAAATCTTTCCTCAGTACAGCAAAAAGCAACTCTTTCAGCAAAATGTTTTGGTAAATGTCATTTTACTTTCACTTAAGATTTCTCTGTTAAATCCCATTTGATGTGACCTAGCTAGGAGTATCTGGAAGAAAATAAGAGTTTTATTTTAAGACACAGTATTCTAGTCAAATTTGATACCCTAAATAATCCAGCGTGTAACATGCCACAGTTACATTCTAAGATACTTCTCTTCTTTACACTCAGAAACAAAATATTCTAAACAAGATAACTCTCTATTACATAGCTGGGGCCATGCTACAAGTAAATTTTTTAAAAATCTAAAACGAACAATTTTTTTCATAACATCATCCACCCCATGCACTATGTACATGCTTTCATGATTCTCTAACAAAATTACTTTGCATATTTCAAAAGCTTAGCTTTGAACTGTAGTGGAAATAAATAGAATCTTGACTGTGGAGAGAAAAAAATACTTACAACGTACCTGGGACTACTTGGATTATGAAATTCATCAGTCCCGCAGCTGGCCTCACTGAGACTGGGGCAGGAGTTGTGCACAGCATACACAGACATGCTGGGATGTTCGATGAGAAGGTTTTCCATAGGACTGGTTTCCACCTTAATAGTGGTTAACCCACCTGCAGTAAAACATGGGGGAGGGGTGATAAACCAGCTCTCCTCCATTGGACAGGACTCAAACTCGAGGAAGCAGGAATCATTTGTATCAGCCAAGCACTCGAGAGAGGCAGGTAAACAGGAAAAGACTGATGGATGCTCAGTATGTGATTCTTCACTGATGTCCTCGTCTTCTTCCTCCTCTTCCCCTGCTGAGAACCCAGTACAAGTGTCTAGATCGTAGTCCACAATGTGTTGTTGAACAGTCCCATAGGAGGATAATTATCACATTGATTCGTCATTATGGAGCCACCCATTGAATTCAGAGCACAGAAAAAGAAGAAATGATAATGTTAGCTGATGCTCACATACCTCCCTTTATTTAGGTTAGGGAAAAAAAAGCATTTTTACTCATACAATGATCATAAAACAAATTCTGAGCATTTAACGTGTGTGAGATGGATTATGCTGGCTTTGTAGGAATGGTTTTAAGAATATTTCCATACTGTTGAATAAACAAATGATGAGCCAAATGAGTTACTGCTTGTCTAATATGAGGGTTTCCTATCCACGTGCCTCTAATTTGAAAAGGGTGGAAGAGCTGTAAAACTGGAAACTCTGACGTCAATTAGTTTCACTGACTATTATCTAGCACAGGATGTTTCCTGGAATTTTTTTAGACAGATTCTTGTTTATTTACTTTTAAGGTTTAAAAACGTGCAGAGTTACTAGTTTAATTATGCAAAAATGGAGATGCAAAACTTTCTGCTTTTACTGTGAAGACTAACCACTAATAATACCTTACCTATGAAGTCCACAAGAATCCATTCATCATCTTCTTTCTCACTAAATTCTGGTTCTTGGTTGGAAGAAGAATTGACTTCACCCACCAACATTTTATTCAGCCTCTGGAACATTGTTAAGGCAAGACTGAGTAAGACTCTGGCTGGATGTCTTTACAGATGAGATTTCAAAACCCTGTCTTCGGTCAGCCCAATGGCACCGACAGGAGAGTAAAGTGCACAGGATGCTTATTTAACGTAGGTGAGAATCAAGAAGAGTCATTATCCCTAAAATGAAACAGAAAAAGAAGGTTATTTCAAATCAGTATGTATTTATATGTGTGTGTGTGTGTGTGTTTTAAAAGGACACACACACACAGAAACATACCCTCAGAAGAAACATGCCTTAGCCTGTATTCTACAGCTATTCCCCTTCTGCAGGAGTCAAACATTAAGAAAGGCAACACTTTTCTTTTACAAAACATTGTGATTCAAGTACTCAAATGCAGCCTGTAAAGATCTTAGGAGTCTTAAGTCTTGGGGAAAAAAAAAAAAAGGGAAGGATGATATTTAACACCAGAAGTCTTCAACTGAATCCAGCAAGAGTGTCTGGTGGCCACCATTATGCCAGGCCCTCATCTCTCCCGGGCTTGTTTCCCCTTCTGCTCTGTACCTTATATATATAACCGTAAGCACACCTAATTATATTTAAAATCTGTAATTACACCATACTTTGACCTTCGAAACAATTCCTACAGCTGGCATGGAGAAACTTAACTGTAGAAAACTGAGCTGGCAGTGCATAGAACTGGAAACATCCATTCTTCGTGTAGTGGCTAAGCTGCAGGCAGTGTGTCTGGGTTCAAATCTTGGGTCTGCTGGTTACTCACTATATGAGTTAGGAAGTTAAACTACTTCAGAGGTGACTTCTAAATAAGGAACTCCAGCCCTGCTTGATCTTATTCCAGAGTTCCAGATTTACATATCCATCTCCACCTGGCAACCTGATGAGCATCTCAAACCTAATGTCCCAAAGAGAACCTTTCATTTTCTTTTCCCCCACGAACTTACACACACTCATTCTTCCCCTTCTCAGTAAGCAACAGTAGCCAGCAGCTGTTAAGCCAAAAACCTAGCAGTTATCCTTGACTTCTTGTGCTCATTACCATCATCCTCCCTGCTCCACACCCAACCCCTCATCCAAACATCAGCAAGTCCTGTTGACCCCAGCCACATGTATAGCTTGATCCACCTACTTTTCTCCATCACTCGGATCCTACTTTAAGCCAACCCAGTGTCTCTCCAGGACTTTTCCAACAGTCTCCTCCTAGGTCTCCCTGATCCTTCTCTTGTTAAAATGAGACAACGCAAGTAACGTAATTAGCTAGGGATTTAGCACAGAGTTCTCAATGTCAACTATTACTACTCTATAAATATTAACTGAGTACGTATTAGGCATCAAGGATAGTAAACACAGGGGCGATGGCAGTGAACAAAGCCCTCCCATAGGAAGTGTAACAAAGGAAGTTGTTACCAAGTATGATGAATGCCAAGGAAGGAGAAGCACTATGTGTTCCTCAGGCCTAACCTGGGTGCAGGTCAGGGAAAGCCTCCTGGAATAAAAGACTTCAATGTTGAATGGTTGAAAAGATCAACAATGGAGGAAGAGGAAGAAGGAACACTATGCACTGAAAGCCCACAAGTGAGTTAGAATGTGGCATCTTCAGTTTGGCTCAAGATTCAGATGGAGGGTTGTGAGAGCAAGGCTGAGAGCTGAGTAGACACTAGAACCTGCAGGGCCTTGTAAGCCAGAAGTTAAAGGGAGAGAGAAGGCAAGGATGACCCAGGTTTCCAGCTTGGCCAACTGAGGGGATAGCAAAACCATCTAGCAGGATAGAAATACTGCAGAAGGTGTGTGTGGGCATTTGGGACATGCTGAATTCAGGAAATCTGCAAGTCATACAGCTGGAGATGTCTTCCAGGCAACTAAATAGAAGGCTCTGGGGGGTTCAGGAGTAAGGTCTCTGCTGGGGGCATAGATTTGGGAGTCATCAACACAAGGGGGATGAAAGAAGCCTTAAGAGTGCGTGAGAGCACCAGAATGGTGAAGAGCACTTCACTAAACGACACTTAGTTTTATTGCAAGTATCAGCCTTGAATACATAACTTCAGACTCTTGCCATTTCACTTTCAAAACAATAATTTTTAATTATGAAAATAGTTTTAGGATCTGTAGCTGATGAGACTCCTAGTTCAATTCCTTGTGTGCAAACTGGACCACTATAATTGTTTGGCACACTCCTATAAGGGTAAAACATTTCAAATACATGACATTTGAATACTTTTGTGGTCACAATTCATCCTCAGCCATTAATTACTTAAAAGTGGGTAAACAGGAAGTGTCACTTGCATAACCAGTCTTCCTGAAACCCTTCTGGACAGCAACATGGCCAAGTATGAAGGCTGGAGGTCTAGTATGAGAACCCACATTCAGCTTTATATTGCATGTAAGAGAATCAGAAGAAATGTGAGCTATGTAGTACGTTATATCCCCAAAGATGAGCCAGTCTCAAGGTCTGATGTAAGATCTTTGAGTATGAAAGCTAGAAGGAAAAAAATTCTTCAAAATCTTTTTCCATTTCTCTTAAATTAGGGGGCAGATACTGACTCCAAATACAATTCTGTGTCTGCTGAGCCAGCTGAGAAAAGAATTCCAGTTCTCCAGAGTATAGGGCTGAACTCTGGCCCTGCATCAGCTAAGAAGCTGCAGCTGCTGGGTGGGGAGGGGAGAGCCCCACAGGGAACCCCTGCTCCTCCTGAAAGAAAGCCTTGTCCTCCACCTGTGATGCTGTGTGAGGGCAAGTCACTGGGGCCCAAGCCGGATAAGTGGCAGCTATAAGGCAGAAAACACTGCTGGGGCCACTGTGGCTGGGGCTGATGCTGGCCTCACAAATCCAACTGCCCACTCCAGCTACAGCTCCAAATCCATGTAACAGAAGCCAGCTATGCCTGGAATCTACACAACTGTACCACAGAAAAGGCTTCTCTGGAGAAGCTTTCTAAAGAGCAGTACTGTCATCCTCTTGGTTTCCTGAAGTCAGATGCTGCTTCCAGATGTCCCATGTCTTCTGCAAGGGCAACCAACTTCGGGGTGGGTAGAGTGTTCAGAAGCCCAGCCAGGCGACCGAGAGCTCATCCCTCATCTCACCTGAGTCACTGCTGGTATTTACATGACACACCTGTTAAGGCTTTGTGGGAAGGACATAGAATGGAGCCTTGGAGAGGGGTAGAAATAGCACTGGCCTGGGCACCAGCAAACGAGGTTTCTGGCTCTGGCTCTTCCACAGGTAGCTGGAGCTAAACAACGTAGCCCTTCTGAACCTGGTTTCATAACTGGAAAGATGAGACTGTGTTGATCACCTCTTCACTCCCTTCCTCTGCAAACTTCTAACACAATGAAGATGCCAGGTTGGACTAACTGCACAAAGCAAAGCTCCTTCAGCCCTGTTTTCTGTAGGTTTCACAAAGGACAAGGAGCCCAATATGCTATAGAACCTCGATATGCTAAAACTGCACTGTCCAACATGGTAGCCACCAGCTACATTAGGTGCCTAGTCTGACTGAGGAACTAAGTCTTTAATTTTAATTCACTGATATTTAAAAGCTGCTAATGGATTCAATTTCTTGAAAACGTTTAAGTATGTTTGGAACAATCTGGGTTTGTGAATCTACTTTTTCAAATGTAAATTTTATGACATCTAAATACAGATCAAGCATCTCCAATAAAATTTTTACATTCGAATTGAGATGTGCTGTTATGTGTAATATACAATGGATTTAAAAGATTTAGTACATAAAATGTAAAATATCTGATTAATAATTATATATTGATTAGTTGTTGAAATAATTTTGGAACTGTATTAGTAAAATTAATATCACCTGTTTCTTTTTACTTTTTTTAATGTAGCTACTAAAACATTTAAATATACATGTGGCTCACATTATATACTTCCATTGGGCAGTGCTGTTTTAGAAAAATCTCTCTAAAACCTTAATGGCCTATCCTCCCACAGATGACCCAGGTGCTCTTCCTGCCCGGTAACTGCTAGTCTTGACCTTGGCTCCTGCCCAGGAATGGAGGCTCTGGAGGGGTCTGGTTCCATGAGAAACTAAAGGGCAAAGTAGAGCTTCAGACTTCATTCCTTTCACCACATGGTCACTGGCTTTTGAATATCCACCAACTCCAGGGAAATGGTAAAACTAAAGTGGAAACTCCAGAGAAAGCATGTGTCCTAGGAGGACAAATTTACAAATATACAGCTCTGGGATTTGGCAAAGAAGGCTAGATGGGGTAGCCCTGCAATTCTCTGTGGCACCTGCAAGCTTTCAGCTGTAACCACCCTCACTCAGCCCAGCAGTCTAGCAGTCTCACTCCGGTGGAGAAAAGAAACAAAGTATCTGGGCCCAAGCATTTCAAGAAGGCAGCTTTGTCTCTGTTCTGTTTGGCTCAAGATCTCTGACCACTCCCTTAAAGAGATTATGTCATTTTCATTATAAAATGAATAAAGCCACTTTATAGAAAGCTTAGAAAGTAAATAAGGAAAACAATCACTTATTATTCCACTGCCTTGTTACAATCACACTGTTAGCATATTGATGCATTTTCTTCAAGCTTTTTCTCCTACACATAAGGTTTCTTTTTATCATAGTTGTAGTCTAGTGAATGTACAATTTTGTATCCTGCTGTTACTTAACATTTCATCATCAGAATTTTTTCATATTACATGGCTAGAAATGCTTTGTGGGCAGAGACAGGTAGCTGTTTAATATTTATGGGCAAAAGCATTCTAGCTGAACTTCCAGACTAGGAGTTGCTGGTCTGAAAATGCTTGTTAGTGTAATTTATTTTCTCATTTTTGAGACAGGCAACCAACAGGTGGTGTGGTGTGGTAGCTAAAGGCTGGCTCTGGAGTTAGCCTGCTCTGTTTGAAATCCTGGCCCTGATACTTGCAACCTGTATGGACTTAAGATATTTAGTAATCTCTTCGTGCCTCAGTTTTCTCATCTGTGAAATGGGGGTCACACTTACAATGCTACTTCGTAGTGCCAATGTGAGGATTTAGGTATACCACTTGGACCAGTGCCTAACACATACCAGGCACATAGTAAATATTAACCACCAGTTCATTACAAGCTGGTTGTGTGACTGTGGGCAAGTCATTTAGCATCTTTGAGTCTGAATTTCTTCACCTGTAAAAGTCTATATAATAATTTGAGCTACAATTTACTGAATGCATACGGTATGTGACAGGCACTTGAGGTACTCACTTGTCCCATTTTACTAATGAGGAAACTGAGGCTCAGACATTAAGTAACTTGTTCAAAAGTGACAGAGCAGGCCAGGTTAGCACCAGGATTAAAGCTTATGTCTGTCTGATTCCAAGCGCCTTGCTTCTCCCTGCACATGACCTCTCAGGCTGCCGCCAGCCTCAACTCTGGTTCTATCAACTTCAGAGAACAGCGTGTTTCAGCTGGTTTTGGCTGCCAGTAGGCGGCTCCAAAAAACACTTTTAAGTTAAAAAAAAAAAAAAAAACCCACAACTTTGGTGAACTAACTTCTAAATATGTGTACAGGTGTGGCTTCTTGACAGTTTTTGGAATATGAGGTGGCTAAACTCACACACTTCACTGAAAAGTGACCTCAAATCTCTTTTTTATATCCCACCCTCTCTCATCAGTTTAGAAAAATAAATGTGCAGATTCAAGCAATTTAAAATCGATTTTTGAACTGCAACTAAGCCAAGAAAGTCGGCTTTGCTTGTCCACTTCCATTCAGTCTATTCAGCCAGCTACAGCTGAGGTTATTATCCCCCTAGGGACCTGCCACTGACTGCCCTGGAGGCTGAAATGACAGTGGACAGAGATAGCAATAAGTGGTAATTCATAGCCCATTAACCTTGAATTTTGAAAGCAGGACTCCCAAGAGAAATAGAACAAAAGATAGATGAGAAAACAAAAGAGACCCTGTTATAAAAATTGGTAAAGACCTGGTTCCTGGTCATGGGGAATCAGGCGGAAAGGAAGAGTGTGCTGTCGCAGAATGGCATGAGCAATTAGGTTCACATAACAATGTATGCATAAAATTTTGTATGGGAGACTAACTTGAAATGTAAACTTCATTTAACTACAATAAAAAAGAAAAAAAAAAACCTGGTTCTAATAGGGCCTTTGATAATTATGCTGCCAGTGTCATAATTAAAGTGGCTGCAACTTAAAATCAAAAGCATCCAAGTGCTTTCCACACGTGCAAATGAAAATTGTATTTCAAATGCCAAGCAAGTGATTTCAGGGTCCTGGGGCACTCACTATTATCTCTGTTCAAATGACCCCAACGATCACTTTTTTCCTCCCTTTCCCAAAGCTATTTTGCATGTAAAAAGACTGTCTTAGTAACGGATGCCCACGTCATAGAGAGTTACAGTTGGAAAAAAGCTCTTCCTTAATCTACTCTAAATTGGAATTAATATAGGTGGTAATTAGTATAAGTAATTACAGGCAATACAATGAAAACAAAAAGTCCCTACATAAAATTCATCTGTAGTACTGAAATAGGAAACACCATTTCCTTTTAATTGGCTGTGTTGTCTTGAGTAAACGAGCCCTGGTGGCAAAGTGGTTAAAGAGCTTCACTGCTAACCGAAAGGCCGGTGGTTCGAACCCACCAGTCATTCTGCAGAGAAAGATGTGGCAGTTTGCTTCCATAAAGATTTACGGCCTTAGAAACCCTATGGGGCAGTTCTACTTTGCCCTGTTGGGTTGCTATGAGTCGGAATCGAGTGGATAGCAATGGGTTTGGTCTTGAGTAAATTACTTAATCTCTGTGTGCCTCAGGTTTCCTATGCATAAAGTAATAAGGCCTAGTTCATAGGATTACTGGAATAATGCATGTAAAGCGCTCGGCATAGTATATGGACATAGTAAGCACTCAATAAACATAAATGATCAAAATGAGTATGATATTAATTCTGATGGGCAAGTAAAGTGTTCTTTTCACAGATGCAACCTCAACAGTGATGTGTAAGATCAAGGTTGGGGTCAAGAAACGTGCAACCGGCAGAGAGGCACTCAGGTAGGGGCCGGTCGCTGGGGGGGCCTACAGTGCTACCGTGCGCGACCCTGTACCAGGACAGGCAAGTAGAAGAGCGCTGGGTCGGGGGAGGAGGGGAAGTGGGGCGAAGAAGCGGGACCGGGAGTCCAAACCCGCTGGCTTAGAGGGATGCGTTTCAGGGCGGTGGCCTCGGTTGCGGCCGCTCCTCCCCAGCCAGAAGCCCCCAACGCCGAGTCCCGACCCAGCAGCCCCAGTCCAACGGCCGAGTGCAGGAGGAGGAGAAAGGAGGAGGAGGACCCGCCGCAGCAAACAGGGCACGTTCGGGGGAGGAGGCAGCAACCAAACACCCAACCACCGCCCAGCCGGAGCTCAGCTCGGCCGGGGTCCGCCCGGCCCCTTTGCCTGCACCTCGGCCGCCCAGGACCCGCCGAAGGGTGGGCGGCCCGGCGGCAGCGAAAGGAGGAAGAGAAGGTTCGGACAGCGCCCGGCGGGCAGGGCGCGCGGCCGGACGCGGCCCGGGGACCGGCCAGAAGCAGGGCGCCCGGGACGCCGGCCCCGCCCGCACTTACGTGGGTCCGACTCGCAGAGGGATGTGCAGCGCAGACGCCTCCCTCCGAGGGGGACCCGGCCACCTGCGCGGGGCTACGCGGGGCTGCTGAGGTAGGTAGTTGCGGCGGGCCGGGATGCGCCCACGCTCTGGCCCCGGACGGCGTGCGCAAGGCGGCTCCGACGCTCCTGTTGCTCCGCGGCTGGCCGCCGCCACCGCCGCCG